TGTTCTCTCCAATCATCTAATTGTTCAAATTGTTTGCCTTTTTCTGTTGCTCATTTTCGTTATCTTAAGACGGTTTTTAGTAACTTATGAGATAGTTGATTTTTCTTCAACTTGATCATTTTTCACATTGCGTAGTTGCTGTATTGTTTTTAAATTGGATCCTCTAACAAATCACTTTCATTTCGATTTCTACTCTTCTCACAAAAACGCACGATTCATATTTTTACACTTAATTTGTAGTGCAACCTTTCAAGGTAACTCACTCACCGGAATTTTTTTAATTTTGTAACATAAGAAAACTGACCGTGATTTTTATTATCATTGATGCACTAACCAATTGTTAACACTTCACAATTTATTCTCAAGTTTGTTCGCACAACACCAACAAATTCCAGAATGCGAAATGTGAAACCAATTTCGCACAACTCGTCTTAAATTTTCTTATCTCTTTCTTATGTTTCAATTGAGCTGAACGGTTTACAAAGTGCCTTATTATCGACCTAGTCTAAATCTAAGTCAGTTCTATGTTTGTGCAGTGATGACTATAACCAGATAGTCTTCCACGAAGCACTTAATGCTAAATCCTAAACTAGACTCCGAAGTCTAAGTGCAGAAGTGTCAACAGCCATTTGGCAACTTCGGTCCAAAATACACGCGCTATTTTACCTAATATTAGCGGTATTGCCGCTTAAATGTACAAATTCTTTAAAACCCACAATCTAATGAAACAATGTTAAGTCTGTTCACCTCTTTATAATTTTTTGTTCACTGGTGATTTTTCTAAGTTTATGTATATATTATTTGAGAGTTTCACATTGAAGTGCCCACAACTCCAGCTATTATTCGGACGATTAGAAGTTTTCAAGCCCTATTTTATTTCCAACGCCGATGTATTGATAAAATATGCAGTATACAAAATACCAAACGTTCAACACCTAACACAGACTTAGTTCATCTAGGTAGCTATATTACTTGGCTAGTACGTCGACTATAAAAGGACCTGCATTTCTTCACAGTAAAACGGTTTCCCAACATCGACGTTATCTCTCTAATTCATCTCACTCGTCAAAATACGCTCCACAGATTTTTTAGACGAATCTTTGGTTTTTCTAGTAAATTCGTAAATTAACCAAGTGTTATACAAATTATAAATGTTCCAATGCTCACATCATCAATTTGTGTTCTGGACAATTTCGATCCAATGTCAATTTTCAACAAACGTCACTAAAACGTGCGCGATCCGCCACCAAAAATTCAAGTTTGGAGTAAACAATTGAAGTGACTCTCGAGAAAAATACAAAATTTCACTGTTGCTAGTGAAGGACTTATAAATTACAAAGGTAGTTGTATTTCTAACCACCGCTACAGATTTGTGGTTCAACCACAACCTGGTGCAATTCTCGGTGAACTAAGTACAGTCAGGTGCAAGGTGGCTGATTTTATCTGAAGCACAGCTAGGTATAGGGTTATTATATTCCTCTATTAATATTCACAAGACATGTATCACCGCCAGCGGTAGATACTAACGTGCCCGCACCACCACGACCGACGAAGTCACATTTTCGACTCGAAGCAACCGATCGCGCCGAGCATTTGCCGCGCGCCCGATCGACAGTGTCTTCAGCGTGACATAGCTCTCTTTTCGAACAAATTACTAGAGCTTTAGGCTGTTCATTGTGAGAGTTACCTGCAAATATAGAATTATTTGCACTCATACTTGTCTGTTTTCTATAAGGAAATATTTTATGACATTGATATATTTATAAATTATATTGAATGTTCATATGGACTCAAGTGGCATCTCGCAACGCTGAGCCAGAGGCGGAGCTCACCGAAGACAGGTGAACACTTTGCCAGTATTTCAGTTCGCTGTATACTGCACTCGGGGCACGCGATGATTCTTCATGCATACCGTTGTTCATTCCTGTCTCTTTTCTCATAAGATCTTGATGAATGCAATCAGAATTTGTTATAGTTTTATAGAGATAATACATATTTGCATTTGTTGCATTTTCTTTACATGAGAATTAACTTTGAACTATATTTTGGCGTCTGGGTATTGAAATACATCAGAAAAATAATTGTACAATAGGAAAAGTATCTCATTTTACTGAAGGTGTTCGTAATTAATTGTTTCTGAGAATTGGTTCTAAATTTCAATCAATATTTGTTACATAAAAATATTTTTAACCTGCCAGCATCAAAGACTTTCCAGTTTTGATATCCAAACCCCAATAACAATTATAGATTTATTTTATAGAAATATGCACCTCAAGCACATCCGTCTCAGTGAAAGTAATAATTTTGTTTTGCCGTTCATAGCAAAATGCGCACATGTTGCTATGACATACAAATTACGGTAGTTAAATTGTTTGCACTCTCGTAGGCATACGATTCCTTTTTGTTTGAAATGCTTTATTATAGTATTCCGAATAAATTTACATACACCTTAAGTAGATAATTTATTTGGTTCTTTGAATTAGATTGGTTGCATCTTGTAGGGTTCACGCGAAGAATGTTGGTAGGTGTACCCCATGGTTGAATTAATACAAGGTTGACCCACGCGCAGCTGCTCTTTGCGGATGTCGTTTGTTGTTCCGACTGTGACGTCACCGTGGGCCCAAAATGTAAATACTGTCGCGAAAGACGTTGTTTTTATGCCGATTTTGAAATCAATTTAAAAAAAATTGCCCTCCTCAAACTCGTTATAAAAATCTCAGTAGCTTCAGCTAGTCTGTCTCTAAGTATATAGGGCTTATTGAGCAATTCTATCGTGTATACAAATAAATTCGAAACAAACAAACAGGGCCGACTTGCTGAGAAGCCGTAATCGGCAAGGAGTTCCTGTCCGATCATTCAGAAGATGACCATAAAAAATGAAGCTCTCCTCAACGAATCCCGCTTATATCAAGTGAGTTGATGTCTAATTATCTCTGATTAATTATGTCAGTTTTAATCTGATACTTCTCAATTTATTTACGATGTTGTACATGTTTCAGCGAGACTGTGAGTAGAATCAGATCCTTGTATTTGATGTGACACTGGCACCTAGGCTACTAATGCAGCAGGTAAGGCTAATCGCTAATGGCATGCCTAGAGATTAAATCAAAATACTGTTTTGTGTTTATGTTAGGGGCTAAGAAAGTGAGGAAAATTACCAGATAGCCTATGTAAAATTACCTAGGTAATAAAGTTATTGATGAATGATGATGATATAAATTATAATTGATATCAAAGAAAAAGAATCCTCATAGTTGGATATTACTATTAGAATAGCCTATTTGTGCATCCTGGCGATTGGTGCTGGTCGTGCTGCAAGGTGAAATTTGGCAGGGGAACCCAGGGGCCAGGGCAGGGGCAAGGGGTAATATAGGTACAAACATGTGCTATGTGCACATATGAATCATATGTGAATGTGGATAGCCACCAAATAATTCGGGTAGAATTCTGGGAATGTGTGTTCTTGTATTCAAGATTGATGATCATTGATCCAGCCTAGTAGTAGTAGCATGATCAGTCAATGCCAATCAGGTATAAAATGTTAGGTAAATATAAAATAAAATTTAATTGCACATTTTTCAAACATATATTTCATTTTTTATTTTATATTTACCTAATAGCTATTTTGTACCTGATTGGCATTGCCTGATCATGCTACTACTACCTAGTACTACTAGGCTGGATAAATGATCATCAATCTTGAATGTATGAATGCACATTCCCAGAACTCTACTCTAATTATTTGGTGGCTATCTATATTGTGTAATTTCAATTTCCAATTATAATTAATATCATTCTTTGGTCTGAACACTGATGAAACTTATTCATGAATCACATTTAAAATATCTACATCATTTAAGAATACATAAGACACTGTAACTTATAAGTCTCTAGTACTGACAACTGACATTATTCATTACCTAGTCCTAATTTATTACATGAATTATGAAAGCAATTTTATCAATAAAATAGCTAATGGGGTGTTTGGGCATTAATGGTGAATTGAGAGTTGAGACTATATTTTCAAGATGGCAAAATCTAATAAGTTTACTTCAATTGTACCTACAATTTGTAAAAACAGTGAGAAAATTTTTAACCTGTCTGTAGATGAGAAAGAAAGTTTTAAAATAATTTTGGGTGGGTAACAAGCTAGCTAAGTCAATCATCTTGTAATCCTAATTGCTCTACAAAAAAAATTGTTTTTGAGAAAAATTTGTATAAAAAACATTGCAAAATTTTCTACTAGTACAATGTATCAGTTGAAGTTTAATGAGTCTAACAATATTATTAATTTTCTCAGACTTAGACTGAGAAATATACCCATACATAGAGACAAATTTTTCAATTCTTTACCTTGGCAGATGGGAAATAATTTTTTTTGTAATGTACAATATTTTTTTTGTAATGTGTTTTGTGTAATGTAATACATGTTTTGTTTGATGATGGTAACATAGGTGCTTTATAGTTTCAGTCCTGCATAATTTTGCATAATTTTGTAAAAATCAGAATGTGTGTCATAAATCCATTCTTGCATCCATTCAGCATTTGATTGGTAGATCAATCTAATTCATGGAAGTGACTTCCATGCCAAATGATATATTTCCAAAAATTCAGTCAGTATATCATTTCAAATATGGCACAAAAACAACGTGTCGATCACCACTGTTTACATTTTTGGCCCACGTTGACGTCACACGAGACATGCGCAGAACGGCGAAAAAATCGTCGTCGCCGTGGGTCAACCTTGTATTAATTCAACCATGGGTGTACCCCATGGGTGTACCTGATAACATAATTAGATATAACTTTAATCCATATCATTTAACTTGCCTTTTGTCTAACTCTTTCATTCCAAATAATTTTAACAAATTCAATCATCTTATTGTTTTAGACAATTAATTGCGTAGATCTTACTAGAATTATAGAATGTATTGGAGCGGAGTTGTTCAGATCACGCGGAAAAAAACACAAAACCGGCTTAACTGGTCCGGATCACAGTGCATTGTTGGGGGCACTCGTAAATGAGTGCGATGCGGTGCGAGTTCCCGCCTCGCGGTAAGTCAAACTCGAAGGTAATGGTACAGCTTTAACTTGCTGCTGATTTAAAATCTCGCTATCGTTTATCTACTTTAAATTAACTATCGTAGAGTTAAGTTTGTAAAGTTGAATGTCACTCAAAGTTCAAACTAATGAAGCTCGCCGGTCGCCGCTGCCGGCGCTGCGTCTGTGACAGTGTGACCGGCTACGGCGGCTACCTAGTCGATTAGAGAAGAATTGCCACTGTGCCCGACTAGAAAACGCTGCTTCCTAAATTATATAATTTTAAGTGTTTTATCTCTTGGTCACAAAATAAAAATGTAGCTGGCAGCCTGGCACTAGCTGCCTCTGGCTCTGAATGCTTTGATTTCAGTCATCTCACCAAGTTTCTTTCCAGTCCTACCTAGCCTAACGGCCCTTCGGGCCCTAACCTAGGACCTAACCTAACCTAGGTAATAAAATTTTTATCATGTCTATACAAACTTGAGTTTTTAAATTGCCGCCAACTTGGTTTAAAACTATAATCCTTGTGCTGCCAGCTGCACTGCAGTTGTCACGAGTTGTGGTTGTACATCTTTCGGAATCCTGCCTATGACTTTTTTCAGATTCCATTATTGGCTTATTGCATTTGCTACACTGACTAGGCAGCATAGTGGCAAAGCAGAGAGTTTTTTAGACTCTCCCTCAAGTTCATTTTTGAGTCCTATAAGTAGACCAGTAAAGTATCATGCATAGTGGCAAAGCAGAGAGTTTTTTAGACTCTCCCTCAAGTTCATTTTTGAGTCCTATAAGTAGACCAGTAAAGTATCCTGGATACCAGCATCATCATACATATGAAATTGGTTTAAATCTTGGATAAATGAGGAAATTGAAAATGAACTGATTCTAAAAAATCTCTGGTTTGTCACTGTGCTAGGCAGGGTTGAAGCCTCACAGGAAGATTTACCATATGAAATGGATTACTAATGCTTTACTCCATCTCCATACAATTTTATTTCAAAATTTATGTGATGAAGATACTTTTTGAAATTTTCTATTAAAATCACTTGTGCTGCACTGCACAAGGGCTTGTGCAACACTGCACAAGCAGCAACCCCTTGAACCAGCATTGCTATTTATTGTAGGTTTTGTAATTGTAGCTTTTCCAACCATTATTCCAAATATTGATCATCATACTATTATACTTTCAGCTTTTCCACTGGGCACGTGCAGAGAGTGGATGAATATTGCAAGCATAGTGACAAACCAGAGATTTTTTAGAATCAGTTCATTTTTAATTTTCTCATTTACTCAAGACTTGAAACAATTTCTTATGTAAGATAATACTGGTATCCATGATACTTTACTGGTCTACTTATAGGACTCAAAATGAACATGAGGCCAGGGTGTAGACTGCAGAGGGAGAGGGTGGGATATATGGATTTTTAAGCCCAAGCGGCGCCAACCATTTTCAAGATGCGTCGCCGGTAATTTTTAATGAAATGCCATTTACGCTGAGTAATGAAAAACTATTTACAAGCCACAAACTTGGACTTTCTGACACAGAGGGACCCTTTGAATGCTCTGCTGCCATCCTGCCATTTTTGTTTATTGATCAATCAATAAAGATGATCAATCTATAGAATTTTTGTAGCCCATTTATAATCACTTTATTCTTTCTTGGTACTTCTTGGTGGATTCCATAAGTACTTTTAGGATTTTGTTTACAATTTAGGTGCCCATGTTTAGGAGCCTAAATAGTATTATTTATCATTATTTTAGTGGACTGATAATCTTGAAGACAAATAAATGACAATAATGGTAAATAATAAAGTATTCTACAATTTTGGGCAATGAAATTTGTATTTGTAAATTTGTTTCTTACAAATTCATGTTCCAAAAATTTATTTTTTCCCACAACAGATTATTTATATATAAGAAAAATTGAATTCTTGATCTGCCATAGATAATTGCTGTTTGTATTTATAATTATTTAGTGCAATCATGGCAGAAAAAGCACAAATTAGAATTCAGGAATCCATGACATCCTTGGTAGATGATTTGGATAAATCCTTCCTAAGAGGCATGCAAGTAAGTGGTAAGCAGGATGCTTGATACCCTGATTCAGAAATGTAAAAAAATAGTATTTACATGAATTTTTTCACTTCTATCTTTAGATGAAGCAATTCAGTGCATACCTACAGTATTTAATGAAGCATTGCTCAAATAATCCATATTGGTCCCTACCTTACTAGTGATTTTCTAGAATCTATATAATTTTTAGTTTTTAGTTTATATACATGAATTGTCATGCATATTTAACTTTGATGTACAAGTTAGATTAGTTAGTATTTTCTATTGTATTTTTTGTGTATAATGTGTAGGTATCCAGGATACACATTATAGGTAGTAATTAAGGGCCAGAGCTGCTAGAAGAATCCTGTTTCAAAAGCATAGTATTAATGGGCATTTATGATTGCAGCGCACAATGCACCTCTGTGCTGCCGAGTGCTGTGAGAAGAAGGAGGCGTCAGTAGATCAAGTCCATCGCTGCATAGAGTCTTGCAGTACACCGCTACATCAGGCCCAGACGTTTGTCCAAAACGAACTTGCACAGTTCCAGGTAGTTTTTTCAATTTTAGCACACTTTTTTTGTCCAGTGTAAACTTAACAGCTAGTACTATCCGAGGTATGCAAGACTAATCTCAAATGCAGCTTGTATTTTGTCTTTTTGTATTGAATACAATTTTTATCACAAAATTGTCCAAGTCACCTCTTTTTACAGGGTTTGTTAGTTATTTCTGGTTTTGTTAGCGTTCAATGTCAGTTTATTTTTATGAAATTTATCAATCTAGTGTCTTTGGAGGACTATAAAAATTCTTGCTTGTTGATGAATGATTCATTTATTGTGATTTTACAATGCTTTGTTCGTGTGATTGTCTAGGAATATAACAATAACATCTTGTGTGCATTGGGTATGTTGACTAATTTTCTTCACAAGATAACTAGAATTTCAAATAATTTTAATTTGTTTGTGAATGATTTTTTGTTATAATCTTTACCTTCATTTTACATGAGACTGCATAGAAATGCTGATGTGAATTGTTTTGTGTACACAGGAGCGGCTGCAGCGCTGCGTGCTGGTGTGTCAAGACCGTGTTAAAGACAGAGTCACTGCTAACACTTCTGAAGCTCAGGTAGATAATGCATTGAAATTGCATTCATTTACATTGCATTCATTTACCTAGCATTCATTTACATTGCATTCTCTTTATGTATGTATAAGCGTCTAGTCAAGATACATGCATATGCTATGTTGTCAATAATAATTTGACTCTATTATACTGATGAAAATACTGCACCAAGACAATGGGTAGGACATGTACATACTATATGAATAGTTGCAAACATGAAGGCTACACTATGGATGAAAATGCACTGCAGGTATAAATAGTATAATGACAATGTTGTACTGGATCGGTGATATCACTACTTGGTATTCATATTATGAATTGTATAAAAATTACTTTTAAACACAAAGCTGCGCAAAAGCTGCCAGCATCACATCAACATATAAACATTGATGAACATCACACAAACAGTATTGGCATACCTACGGTAGTTATTCTGGCTATTACTCTTAAAGAGACCAAATGGAAGTACAGTATTGAAGCTGCATTCGAAGGTTTGGTTATTGATATTATTTAGAGCATGATTAACATAATATGAATTGATGACATCGAAGGATCATGTGCACTATGTACTTATTAAATATTTTTGTCATGGTTTCTTCCATACACCTATTTGTGAGGTATGATATCACAACTTTAAGCTAAAGTTAAATTTTTAGTTTACTTTATTGTACCTATTTTGCATTATATCTCTTAGAGTCCTGCTATGCATGTAAAATTTTGCTCTTCATTGCTTATTGAGTCTTTTTCTGGAATTAACTTCTTTGTAGATTTGTTTTAATTTCTTTATGAATGAGACTTTTTCAACCATTATCATCATCTAAACTCAATGTTTTTCTTCTATTATTAGTCTATTATATTCCTGGTTAACAGACATATTTGTTTGCATTATCTAAACTAATTCTTTAGACGAGTCAGGTCTGCTATCTTATATTACACTACAGACTGAATTCCGGATTTTCCCTAAACAATTAAAAACATCCTAGTTTTCCATTTTCTACATAACATGATGTCTTTTATGGGGGAATAATATTTGCAGGCATACTATCCAGCATTATTACATGTCGGATATCTGAGTCCATTTGAAAGCAATGTGTCTCAGCAGTCAACATCTGTACCCATGTTTATGTCTAATATGATTTAGTGCGAAGCAGATAATGCAGAAGAAACACGCCATTCTTAAACAGTTGCAAAGTACCTGGCGTATTATTACAACATTTAGTTAACGATCACGATAAAAGCCCCCTTGAATGATCTAAGTACACTTGATTCTCTTTATGCTTAAATTGTTCAAAGGGGTAAAAATAATTCCAAGCTGTAATTGGTGTTTAATTTGAGGAAATTGCCTTCGTGTGTCCCCAGCCTGAGGGACGGGGGCTCTCCATTGCTGGGTCCATGGGTCGGGTCTTACGGGATGCCACCCTCGGCCAGGGCGGGGTATGCCCTCACCTACCTTTAACTACCTCTTACGTACCATTTAAAACTTCTTACTACTTATCTTTAGCTACATTTTACATACCTTTAACTACCTCTTACGTACCCTTTAAAACTTCTTATATTTAAGCGACCTTTTACGTGCCTTTAGCTACCTCTAACATACCTTCAGCTACATCTACGTACTTTTAGCTATCTCTAACGTACCTTTAGATACATCTAACGTACCTTTAGCTACCTCTAACGTACCTTTAGCTACCTTTTACGTATCCTTAGTTACCTCATACGTAATTTTGGCTACCTTTCATGTTCAAACCTAAATCTACATTCCGCATTCACATACCCACCTCTCACGTTCCGATACCCACACCCAAACTTACCCTTACTCGCCACCTACATGCCCATATCTACCATCCCATGTGGCCGAACCAACCTGTCACCGTGCCACGTGCCCGTAGCCACGTCCCCTTACCCTCTAATCACGTACCCGGTGTAGGTATAGTAGTGCCTGGTAGGTATAGTAGTGCCTGGTATGTATGGTTGTGGCTCCTAGTTTTTGCTTGGTTTGGAGTCTGACACACGTCAGTTTTGTTTCGCTATCGCATGAAAATTGTTGGCCTACGCACTTCAGATGTGGCTTAAATTATGTACGATATTCATAGAAGATTTCGATAACGCAAAGATTTTGCATTGAAATCATGCATGGCTCCAGAGATCGTTTGCTGCTAGGTACTTCAGCGAGTGTTGATCCAAAGGCTGTAGAAGAACGAGTTTCCAGAATTGATCAGCCTGAAAGGCATCGCTTTTTCTTTCAGAGTTCTCGTTTTGCTTTGTTGCTGCAGTTTAGAGGGTTCCATAGTCTTGTCTCCAGCAGTTATCCCTATTAATTTTTCCTTTTGTTGCATTTTCCGTTACAGTTCCATAGTAGTCTGGTATTGCTTTGACTCGATGCTGCAGTTCGTGATCCTATCCGTATTTCTGGTTGACTTTCAACATTGGTTGCTTTTTCTAAGGGTCAAGTTTTTAGTTGTGCTTGTCGGATTTGTAAATGTTTACTCATACGCAAGGAAACCTACATAATAACATGTAGACTACAGAGAATTTAGAAAAATACAGCATACGTTTCAATTATGTGTCCCGACAACCAGATATTCAGTATGACGTAATTTGTGTGCCGCGCTTCAAGTAGCAATTTTTGTGTGCAGGTCTCCGTGTACAAGGCAGAGTTCGAGGCGTGCGCGATGACGTGTGTTGACGACCACATCAAGCTCATGCCGTCCACCAAGAGAAGAATAGCAGAGACCCTCTCTAAAAACTCATAACGTCTTCACTGTGTAGCGCAAGTGTACAGTCAGGTTTCTCAAATCTATATTATGAAGCTCAAATATAGCGCGTATGGCCACCGTACTGGTTTTACAATTTGACAAAACTTTTCCAAAAAATGCATTTAGTAAAATTACAATGCATTAGAGCTGAACGAGACCCAATTGTTTTTGAGTGCGGATTCCTGTCATGACACAAAGTCCTCGATGTTTCATGTAAATATTTCTCCCGTCGTCTCCTTTAAATTATTATTGTGGTGAACATGAATTTCGTTGTGATGCGTGGTGGCAAGAATATGGGACAACGATAATTAGTCAATTTCGAGAGAATAAGTACCTCCTGTGATTGAATTGGAATTCCATTTGCATATGTGGTGGAACGCATGAATCGTCCAGTCATGTGTGGTCGTAAGCGTGAATCATACCAGTTATTTGTGTAAGAAAGCAGCAATCATGATATATCACTTAGTCAAGTGTGGTCGAAGCGCTGATGCTTTGGGTTGTCATACATTTCAATTTTGACATTCCGTCTCTTACTCCAGTTCTTTTGCACGATATCCACTGAAAAATACCTCCCGTTTGATATCGTGCAAATCTTGTAATTTAATGACTGTGACAAGCAATTTTTGCTAACTCGACGTATCATAGACGGAAGCTCAAAGATATCATGCATGACAACTCAATTTGTTAGCACTCGCCACAGCGAATATTCCCCTCCAGTTAAATACATAACTCGCACAGCTTAAAAACTAAGTTCGTTACATCGCATGTCCGACGAAAATGTTATAATGAAATGTTAATCCCATAAAATTGTTTATTCTTCATCACTGTCAGACAATAACAATTCTCCCTCACTATCATCTTCATTAGCTGATTGTTCGTTCTCTGACCCCATTTCTTCGTCATCTTCACTCGCCGCCTCATTCACGGAAGTTTTCTTCCTCTGTCTTCTCTCCTTCTTGCTCTTGGGCTCGTCGCTGTCGTCGACGTCCTGCTGCAGCTTCCTCTTCTTACTGCGGTTTGGATCGGCCAGCCTTACATTAACCGGCTTGAATTTTATCTGTACATAATTATTTGCGTTAATATTTTCTCAATTTGAAACAAATGAAAGAAAAAGTATTCACCGATTTTACATCACTACGTAATATGGTAATAAATTAATTATAGATCAATCATTATCGGATTTACTATAGACTTGTGTCGAATGCATTAGTCTTTCACTATAAAATATTTATTCACTTGTGGTAGCCTGGTAGGTGTAACATTGTATAATGTATAATTGTATATATGTATGTATAATTTGAACAGCATCTCCGATGACATCGTCGGCGCTCCAAGTATGAACGCGTTCAAGAACAGACTAGATAAAGCTATGGAAAAATATATGTTCAGACTTGAAATGCCTAGCACTATATCGAACCCGGTGGAAGTCGAGTAGCTATCTCAAACTTTCGTCAGTCATGAAAAGATCCGGTTAAATGACACGATTTTAGATCTATGAACAAGGCACGAAAAGGAAAAGAATCGGCGACAGCCCACATCAGGCCTACACTTCAGCGCCGAGTTCACTATGTTATGTTATGGTGATGACACGCGTATGTTAACTTTTTCATGAAGAAACTAATTTATTTACTTAGAATACTTTTTCCATTTGTGCAGCCAAATTAACTCTTCAATTTTCATTCCGGACAAATATAATATTTTATTCTTGGAACTCAACTCAAGAGCAGTTAACCGTTTCATATTTAGGACGAAGAAAACATCATCATAAATCTATACTATAAACCTGATCTTAAAGTACGGGTGGTGCGTATGATGCTTAGCGCTGTATTTATGAACGAGCAATTTGAGTACATATTGACAGGTGCTTATCGTGTCGGGATATTACCTGGACCTAAATTGTTTCCTTGACAATATCAACTATTGCAAAACCGTGAGGGAGGCTTGTCAACTGGTACGGGATGATAGGATTATCAAGTTGCATAAACCATCTATCTCTGGCAGCGTGGTGTAGAACTAATTTTGACTCGATAGTGGTGTGTACAATTTACTTATCCATGCCTAGGCCTGGTTACGGTTACATCATCAAAATGAAGCTATATAAATAATAAAATCACTGGAAGGTTTATATTAAATAATAATATTGAACGATTTGAGATAATATCAATAATTAAGACCTTCACGCTCGCTTGCAAAGTTTATTTTTGACCTCCGGCGCGAATTATCTTGATAGCTGAAGCGTTAGCAAAACATCCTAAGTACTACTAATATTACTCATAATATCTACTCATGTCAATATCTCACCTTGTGCCCACCCAATATCTCCACAGCCAGCACCGCATCCAAAGATTCCTGGTTGGCAAAGGACACGAAGGCAAAACCTCGGTTGTGCTTCTTGGGGTTTCTTTTGTTCGCGATGGGCATATCGATGTTGGTGACAGCGCCATACCTGCACACACAACAACAAAGCTTGAACATTGCAGTTGAAATGAAGGCTGCTCGTGACAGCGGGTGCATATCTAAGTCAGGCATTCCTTCCGTACATGTACAGGCTCTTTATTTAATCTACGCTTGGACTTTTGGTTGTAATTGAAAATTTGCTGAAGATGACACGTTGTCTGATCAGGTTTTAAAGGTTATTAATGTGTACATGAATGTAATAAAGTAGCGGGAGAGACGAAGAAAATTGTATCTGAATAAGCTATCATCAGAAAGCCAAGTTGCAGACTAACTCTACTTTCTGCATTTGCGACTCACACAAGGTAATCAACGAAGCAAACAACCTCATGAAGACGAAATTTCACATAAACATAAAGCCCCCAAGCAATGTTGGAACAACTCTTTATATACGGAGGTAATTGTTCATTTTTAAAACAGGCAAAGTATAGTTAATTAATAAAGTAGTGGGAGAATAATGTTGAAGCAACTTTCTGGTCATGAATAATTCCTACAAATTATCGAAGAATGAACAACCGGCAAAAACACGAGATGTCCACAAAAATACAAAGAGTATTTTTTTTTTTTTGCGGTGCACGAAAATACAAGGGACTGTACATGAAAATACGAGAAGCTGTCCTTGAAAATACCATGATTGCTCCACGAAAACATTACTCACAATGCAAAGTGGCCATAAACTTCCTTGGCAGTCACTGAGCGGTCCAAGCCATCCACATAAATTTTGAAGGCTTCATTGTCAGTCTGCAATTGAAAACATAAAAAATGTCATTATTATGCAGTGTAAACAGATAATGCAAAACCTGAATGTAAAGCTATCTAGGATTAGAGTGGATTTTAATTATTCCATATCAAAGATCTCATTTCCAGCACGTTTAATTGAAAAAGGGATCATGCACGACGCTTCTCTTTTAACCAACACAAGGAATCCATGGAAATATGCTTATCCATTTATGAGAAAAAAAAATCAAGCTATGATATCCATAGATATGAATATATATGAATCAAATTCAAGAAGATAAACTGAGAGTAAAATAGATTAGGACGACGCCTAGCGTGACCGTCTCAGGGCCGCCAACACACCTCGGACCCCGTCTGTTCTGTCTCATGGGCCTGCACCTGGGCGGGACAAAACAAACACATCAGTAACATGAATAAATCATCAATAATGCGAGCTGATAAGGCAAAAAATTGTTATCGAATTAAAAAAAGACGCCAATACTAAAAAAATCAAAGGCTCAAAAATATTTGTCGATATATTCAACTAGATCAACTTGAGCATTCCACTAACGAATATCTCAAGCTTATTAATATACTGGATCACAAGAAGAATAAGGAATAATTAAAATACAAACAAAACCGTTGATTGATGAGAAAGCTCAAAAATTCAAAGAGAAAACGATATACAATTATCATAATTTGTACAACGAATGGAACCATTCTAGGCTTCAGTTGCTGTTGCTTACCCTCTCCTCATCGTCCAACAGAGGTCGCGCCTCTACGCAATATTTCTCCACCTGATGTCAATAACAATAAATTATAACAATAATATGATATATAATTTTAATCAATAATATCAATAACAATAAATTATTCATAGCAATAACTGAATACATATTTTATGTCGTAATAAATTTGACTTAGTGCATTGAAATAATTTAATATGAACAACAAAAACAATGAAGACGATAAAACTACATTGCCTAAATTTTGGAGTATTATCTTTGCACTTGCATAAATCAAAGGCGAGAGAAAACGCTAACTTGATAAAACACTTAATAGATATGAATAATAATGAAAAAACTACTAGGAAAATTAGGCAACAAGCGTTATTGGTGAAATAATTAAACTCACGTCAATACAGAACTCGTTGATGAGCTTCTCAGCATGCAGAGCCTTTGAGAAATGAACAAACGCCACTCCAAGGTTTCGGAGATGGCGGTCTTTTGTTAGATAAACTTTTCTCACAGGCCCAAACGTTTGCACTGCAGAAATGATAGACTTGGCGCTAACATTTGGCCCTACTGGCTCTAATACAACGACAGGATCCTTCAGGAGCGAATCCTTCTGTTCCTGAGTGATGCCGCCTGCCTCAGCACGCCTCGCAACAATCTCGGCACGCTTCGCCTCATTTTCCCGGACACGGGCAGCCTCCGCAGCCTCGGCCATCTCCTTCTTTGCCGCCTGAAAACATGGAGTGAAAAGTATTTTCATTGTCCGTTTAATTTTTTTTTTGCAGATTTTCAATTTGCTGCCTGCAAGCAAATTGAGGAAATTATCTTCGTTTTCCGTGCAAAAATTTTTCTTCTTGCAAAATCTCAATTAACTATATGTCTCTCGACTCAAATCACGATTATCCCACCAAACAATATGCTTCTATTCTCGTTTCAAGAAGAATGACCAAGTTTAACTGCTACGTTCATTTGATGTGAGCAGTAAAATGCCTCAGTAATTGTAGATTTAATCAAGTCAACATTGGGATTTAATCGTCAACGGTAAAAATTCCAATAGACTTAATCGTCAACATTGGGGATTTTAAAGTCAACAATTTCATCAAAAAACCGGTCGCTATGCAGCTTACTATTTCCTAGTGCTGGCGAGTCTCGTTTGCTCCATTGCCCAGTTCAAATTAACTCATTTTCTATTTGCATACGTAATTTTTGGGTTTCTAGGAATTTTCTTGACATTTTTAATAATTGGTCATAATTTTTTATTGACTACACAACACTAACAATTTATGTATACTTTCATAAACTATTTTCTGATTCGTTTTTATTATTTAGATCAATGGTTCCATTGATATAGGATTGGATTTTTTAAACCCACGTTTGAGTTTAATGATGTAACTTGTACAGAAGCAGCTTAGCAACTACATACCTATTATATGATTTATATCTCACCTACCTTCTTTTATCTAAGCATGGAAGTACCCCTCAAATACTTAACACGTTTGAATATGTCATTTCACTGTTTCCAAATCTAAACATAGATTTGTATACAATTAAAAAAACGCTAATAGTAAGAATTACGAGCATGAATTGCATACTCACCAATTTATCTTTTAATTTATCAGTTTTCTTTGCACTCTTGCTCCGAAGATCTATCTTCTCAATAATAGGCGGCAGAGAACTCTGACAAAAGAGAACAATCAAGAGTTAGATGATGCGGCACAGAAAATTAAGCGCGTACATCGACACTCACAATTATTAAAAACTAAAAGAAATTAAAATTAAAGTAACTAAGGTAAATTCACCTAGGCAAAAATGGAAGTTAACATTAAATTGATCAAACAGTTTACTGTAAGTATATATATAGTGAGCAAGAGAGCTTAAACTAAGTTTATTTATTAGTAGGATTTAATTAAACTAACAGAGAAAGAGATGACCTGATATTTTATAAAATTTTAAACAATGAAAGCATTATTAAGATTCGAAACGAGAACAAAAACGTGTGAATTCTGGCATGGAATTTGTTTGCTTGTGATGAATATAACACGACTTACCCATTTATTTTCAGTGACTGAAGGCATGACAGACAAGAACTTATTGTCCAGCTGCAAATGAAATTATAAAGAAACATTAACAAAATATCATGCAGATTATCCATAGAATTTGAATTAAAATACTTTTACGTTAATTCAATATGTATCTTTGCAAAATGTTTCATTTCATGCTTGATCTTAAATAGAATAAGTGCCAACAGATAATTTCAGGTAAACTGTTGACATTCAGCTGAATTAACATTTTTTCTTTTGTCATTTGCTTTTTAGAGAGCGTATTATTTCAAGAACATTTCTAATGCTTCAGTTTCAAATAATTATACCTGCTGAGTTCAAATATACCAATGATCACAAATAACATCAACATGTAGTCAGAGACAGAGGCAGGATAACACAAATTCCATGAAATTTTCCTTCACAAGTCTAGTGAGCATCAAACTCTCACGAGATCCTTCACAGCTGTTGTTGGTTATCACTGCAATGTTATAAGCCCTAGAACTCACCCTCAAGACTTTCTTCCGCATTACATCCATGATGCTCCTGACACTGGCAAAGCGAACATAGCAATAGCCTTTGTTAAGGCCGGGCTCTTCAATGGGCAGGTCAACGTCCAGCACCTCTCCAAAATCCGCAAAAAATTTTTTGATGTAAGCCTTGCTGGTGGTGAGGTTCAAACCGAACACAAATATTACGGGGTTGCCCTCCATGATGAGCGGAACTTGTTCAGGAGCTATGAGCGTCTTTATGGATTCCTTGGACGCATCAGCCTTGACACTTTCATCCTACAAAAGAAAACAGAAATTAATTCCATTGATTAATTGCTAAAGGCTTTAATGGAAAGATAAAGGTTTAGCTTTGCTAAATTCAAGCTTCTGGATTCTACACCATAAAAGAAACCTTGTAGTTCTTCTTCGTCTTCTTGTTACCAGTTCTTCTTATAGGAGCAAAGGAAACTGTCCCATTTAGCCCCTTCACAGTAAAGGATTTAGTTGATGCCCTGGGCCTTTAGTTGATGCCATGTGCCCGTCACCCCGCAAATGCATGGTAGCCGTGGGAGGACAACACAAGAGACTATTCTCCAAATGATCTATCAATGTCTTGACATCTTTTCGTCGGTGATGATTTGCAAAAGTTCCAGCAAAGGAGCCTCATCTAGGCTACGGTATGGCTTGGTGCTAGAGCTCTAAGGGGGGCAGTGTTCAACTTGTATGCTTGAGGGTTGTTCATTGTGAAAAGTATCTTTAATGAGTCTAGTAGCAACATCTAGAAAGTCAATGCTTTCATTAGGCTTGCACAGAGACAAAAGTTTGGACAGTAGTTTGTTGAATTGGGACACCGGGCCGTTCTACAGGGTTGGTTTTGCTTGCACGTCTGTTTGTGGGCCAATAGTACAGGTAATGGAACAGGGTTAAGTCCTTGCAGGTCTGGATTTAAGTGAAGAGGTGACAGGAGCAAGAGATACTGTGGAAGTTATTGGGGAAGCTGTTCTCTGAATGGTGTTTTGTGAGCCTAAGGCAGTAGCCTTAACTGATTTCATGGCATCTCGGTACGAGAGCTTAAGGTGTAAGCGAATATTTTCTGTTTTGCTTGCTTCATAAGAGGACAACCCCATAACTAACAGTATGTGGACCTCCGCTATTCCAGCAGTGTTGTCTCCCAGTATTAGAACAGTTCTTTACACTGTAGGCACAACCACATGCAACACAACAAGGGGGGCCTTTACAGCTAATGGCGCTGTGTCGAAAATATTGACATCTATAGCACTGCCATAGGTCAGCCACCAAGGGGTCAACTTTAAACCGCTAGTAACCAGCGTACAGATAGTCCAGAAAAGTGCTAGAAGGAAAGTTAATTTTGAACATGGAGGTTCTCATTTCTCCTTTACCCTTTAGCACACACTCGGCCCTTACATCCTTGTAACCTGAATCTCTCAGAACAGATGTCAGTTCCTCATCAGAGACGTGCTCTCCCAAGGGCCCAATGACTCCAACTGATACGGTCTGATTTACTGGAATGCAGCATTTAACATTCCATGAACCAAGTTTGGTTACCGCCAGGAAATGAGCCAAGTCATCAGGCGAGTCATACTTCCTCGAAACAACCAGGAGTTGACGCTTGGGTTTCCTAGAGATGTGGCCAATGCCGGCTTGGCCAAAAGGTGGATTAGCAAGGGCTATGCTAAGGGAGATTTTGTTGGAGAAAACTTACTCTAAGGACGTGCATTAGGGCCATCAGGATCTGCAACAGGTTCTATAATGACAATTTTGGCATTTGAATCAGAATGTTTTGGGGTTGGCTGAAGTACATGGAGGCTGGGGTCCCAATTGAGTATTGGTACACAGTGAGGCAGATGTATGGCCTTACATTTTCATCATCATCATCATGGGATGAAAACCCTCAAATGCATACCCAGTCTCAGGGTCATCAGGAGCTAAGTCTTGAACCTCATCACCTGCACTGGTACCAGAAGCAGGGTTGGCGATTTTTTTGATTTTTTTAAAAAAATCAAAAATCAATGATTTTTTTTTATTTTTTCATGATTTTTTTTATTTATTTGATTTTTTCAACTTTTTTGTCTTTTTGAAGTATGATTTTTTATGTTGCAATTAGCCTACTAACAATAACAGTAGGTATATGGATCATAATGGATGGCTAAAAAGGGCACTTATTGCCTTCAATAATGGCCAACAGGCCAAGGTGGTGTTTACCACTTAGGGATTTTTGGTAAACAATTATTGTTAAATCTATTCATTAGCTTTGTGGAGTTTGTATGGAGCAAGGTAATGAGCTAAATATTGACCATTTAACTGGCTTCAATATACAAAAACACTTCAGGAATGCAGATCTTCTAAACATTGAAAAATCACACAACAGATATGTAGCTGATAGCACAGTGCACAGCACTATCAATAGATCCACTAGTTTTATGTCCTATAAATCTACAAGACTCTACCCTCTATACACACCGACTAGTAGTGACTGAGTGACTGACTGCACTGTTCCCATTTAATTCAGACCAATAAACCAATACTAAACATAAACTGAACGATAACCAAACAAACCTCATACGACTTGAAACGAGACTTAAGTTATGAGAAAAGCTAACACTGTTTGAAATAAACATGTGCACAATTCAAATGTTTTATATCCATTTACTGCATTTAATTATTTTATATATAGTCTTATAATTGTAATTATTTGCTTTCTAGTTTTAAATTCACATATTTAAAGATTGAAATTAAATATTTTTATTAGAATACTCGTATTAGGGTGGAAAATCTTTCTAATTGCCTAAAAGGTCAATACAATCTCAACCTCTCAATATACAGGGTGGGGCAGAACCGATTGAGCTGTTTTGAGGCAAAATAAAAGAGTAATGGAGGTACATAAAGAAGAAAGTTTATTTTCCTTGAGGTTAGCATAACATACCATTTAGAATACTTATGTTTTGAAAACAGTATCTGGAAGATGGAGGCCGTTAGCTGCAACACACTGTTGGAGTCGTTCTCAGAGGAGGGAGTAACCGTAACAGTGAATTCCGATCGCTATGCTGCAATGTTGCAAAATTTCTTGCAGCCCATGATGGACGAAAACATTGTTGAAAATGAAGCATTGAGAGACGTGTGGTTACAGCAGGATGGGGCTACAGCTCACACAGCCCGAATGTCACTCAATGCTTTGAAACGCATGTTCCCAGAGTCCCAGATCTGAGGGGTGATTTACAGTGACCTGCGAGGTCACCTGATTTGAGCATTTGCGATTTCTTTCTTAGTGGACATCTAAAAGAAAGGGGTTCAGAAGTCGCCCTCACACCCTACCACAGCTAAGGGAACGGATTATTGCAGCAGAGGTTATGGCCATACCTCGCCATATGTGTGAACGTGCTATAGAAAACTTCCAAGAACGACTCCAACAGTGTGATGCAGCTAAACAAACCCCATCTTCCTTATATTGTTTTCAAAACATAAGTATTTTAAATGGTATGTTATGGTAATCTTGAGGAAAATAAACTTTCTTCTTTATGTGCTTCCATTACTCTTTTATTTTGCCTCAAAACTGTTCAATCAGTTCTGCCCCACTCTGTATAAGCTAGCTAACACATTTAAATTGTATATTGTAATCAATATATAACAAATAGTCAAATAGGTAGAGACTACTTATAGCCTTCTAAGAATTAGCGAAGCTGCTAGCTACGTACAATGTATTGCACACTTGATGCCTCTGTACCAAAAACATTCAATTTATTGGAACCTAATACACACAAAAGGCAACAAGTTTATATACCAATTTGTCATTCATAGTACATTTATACTAAACCATGAATAACAATACCTCAATATAAATTAAAGACTGCCACTCAATATATTTAAATACATGAAAAAATAAAAAAAAATAAAAAAAATAAGAAAAATCATGATTTTTTTATAAAAAATCATGATTTTTTTATAAAAAATCAAGTGATTTAATCATTTTGATTTAATCATTGCCAACCCTGACCAGAAGTAGGTGGAACAACGGCATCAATCCTGAGAAGTAGTATTTTTGACCAAGTGGGTATTGCTGAGGGGTGTTATTGGGATTGGATGCAGAATTAGTTTCAGGGTAGCCAGATGATACTGAAGCTGCATCCCCCATGTTCCTATTTTATGCGTTTAGCTTTAAGCATTTCACTGGTTTGTTGTTGTACAATTTTGATGATTGCAACTATTTATATAAATTAATCTCAATCAAACATTTGTCCTCAAACGTCAAAAATTTTCCAGAACAACTTACCGCAAGGTAACTCAGTTGCATCCATCTTCAGCCATGGATGTAACCCCAAACTTTGTAGTTAATTAGTCAAGTATAAAAATATCTACATAACATTAGATCACATGTTCATACTTCCAAGGTTTAGTATAAATAATTTGATACTTACAGCAACTTTCTTCGGTGGAATGTATTCAGATACCAGAATTTTCGTGTTGTCCATCTGCCCAAGTAGAAACAAATCAAGTGGTTGGACAAAGATAGATGCTCCTAAGTATGAGAATAGTTTAGTTTATCAGGCAGAATGAAAATGGTATCAAAATCAATCCACTAAAACTTATGGTACTTTAACTTTGAAAACATTGCTCCAACGTGAACTCCAAATCTGTAGTGCATTGAAGATAATTAGGACTTTTCTGTGAACTTTTATATTCACTCATTTTATATACAACTGTTGCCACCTCTCCAGAGCTAACATACAACTGCTGCCACCTCTGAAGAATTAACATAAAAATGCTTCCATTTCTCACCAACACTTGATTATTTTCTACATATAACAGAGAGGAATGATAACCTGACCAATGAATCAGCAAATATTTCACCTCACCTGACCTCAGTAAATATTTCAATAAATAAATAACATTCTGCCTCCATGACTTTAGAATATGGCAACCAAAGTGAAAATTCCAAAGTAAAATGACAACTGACTTATTAATTTGGCAGAGAATAACCTCAGTAAATATTTCAATAAATTTATTCTATCTCCTAAGAAATCCACAGACGATTTTTGAGGATATTGGCCACAATTTGAATGATGAGTAGACAAGCACTAGCTAAAGCCAAAGTGACTGATTCTTACCATATGCAGGGCTTTGAGTGCTTTCTGTAGATCTTCTTCACACTCGTATGTGATGAGTGCACTGTTCCTATTTGCACCCTGAAACATGTCCTTGCCTTCTGACACGTGACACGAGACAATCTTGCCATACTTGCTGAAGTGCAAGTGTACTTGGGAAGTGGTTTTCTTAGTGGGCAAATTTCGGGCAAACAGAGTGTAGCCTTTGATGTGATGCAGCTTCTGGAACAATAAATTTTGGTTAATAAAGAAGTTAATTTATTACATTCAATGCTTCATAAAGTGTCATTTTTTCTAGTATTATTCCTTGGTCATATATTAGGAAATTTGTATATAGGTATATTACTCATACTAGTTCTAGCAATGCACACTAGTTCCAGCAATGCACACTAGTTCCCACAATGCACATTAGTTCCAGCAATGCACACTAGTTCTAGCAATGCACACTAGTTTCAGCAATGCACACTAGTTTCAGCAATGCACACTAGTTCCAGCAATGAACACTAGTTCCAGCAATGCACACTAGTTCAAGCCATTCACACTAGTTCAAGCCACTCACACTAGTTCAAGCCACTCACACTAGTTTCAGCAACTCACACTAGTTTCAGCAACTCACACTAGTCACTCGAATTAGCTCCAGCAACTGACACAATCATTTAATGCACATGGGTGGCTTCTGCCTAGTTTACTAGTTTGGGGGGTTGTGACTGAGCAAATAGTTTAAGATCTTTGGCAACGCATCAGCAACAAGATCTATATCTTTATAAGAACTTACCAAGAGATTTGTCATTAGGTACCTCTTAAACTATCTATAAAATTGAGGATAACCCATGAATGAGACAAAAATGCCCATGCTTGCAAACATTTTCACCCGTTTCTATAACCCTTACTCAAGCTCTGAGGTGCAACTTAAGGAGTGACAAAGCAGAGACATCTAAGACTCCACTAAAGTACAGTACCTCATTGAGTCCTATGAGTAAACCATTTAAGTATCAGTGAGACCAGCATTATCATAAAAAGGTAATGGAAACAATTTTTAACTAGATCCAGGAATTAAAAATGAATTGTTTTCTAAAAATCTCTCATTTGCCAATATGACTGACAAGGTCTTTCACCATTTTTGAAGCCTCAAGATTACTGCTAGACAAATTGCCTTGATTTCTAATTGCAAACAACCAACTGGAAAACCAGGCATACTGGAAAACCCTTGCCTGATTTCTTTATTAAAAATCATGAAAAATTACACATTTACACCTGCAATATTCACAAAACTCTAGTGGAACAGCAATTCTGCCGGATATCCTAGATTGAGTTAATAAAAGTGAACAATCAGGCTCTGAGATTCCAAACTTTGGAGCCATAAGATTTTAGTAATAAGTAGGCAATTTCCATTCATGCTATTGCACAATTTCCATTGTCAAAGTAAAGAAAAACTGCAAATTTTTCCTTGTAACCTTAAATTAAAAAAAAAATAATTTCCAAATTAAAATTTCATGTGTCTGGGTAAAATTTTGCCCATTATTCTAAATTGGCATCCCTGGAGCAAGGGGGGTCTCTTATACAACCTCTGGCAAAAATTATGGAATCACCGGCCTTGGAGGATGTTCATTCAGTTGTTTAATTTTGTAGACAAAAAGCAAATCACAGACATGACACAAAACTAAAGTCATTTCAAATGGCAACTTTCTGGCTTTAAGAAACACTATAAGAAATCAAGAAAAAAATTGTGGCAGTCAGTGATGATTACTTTTTTAGACCAAGCAGAGGGAAAAAAAATGAAATCACTCAATGCTAGGGAAAAAATTATGGAATCACCCTGTAAATTTTCATCCCCAAAACTAACACTTGCATCAAATTAGATCTGCTCGTTAGTCTGCATCTACAAATGAGTGATCACACCTTGGAGAGCTGCTGCACCAAGTGGACTGACATGAATCATGGCTCCAAAATGAGAGATGTCAATTGAAACAAAGGAGAGGATTATCAAACTCTTAAAAGAGGGTAAATCATCACACAATGTTGCAAAAGATGTTGGTTGTTCACAGTCAGCAGTGTCTAAAATCTGGACCAAATACAAAAAACATGGGTAGGTTGTTAAAGGCAAACATACTGGTAGACCAAGGAAGACATCAAAGTGTCAAGACAGAAAACTTGAGGGGAGCATGTAGGTCAAAATCTATCTTCTATATTTAGGGAAAGATCATCTCCAAACTTGGTACACATATGTAAAATTGAAAATGACGACTATTTTGTTCGTGTGAACTTTTCGAAAAAATGGAAGAAAACGTGAAATTCTCAGAAAACGGCTAAAAAGGTGGTACTCTAAAAAAGTTAATAACTGTTGCAAATCACATGCTACAACATCCAAACACGTATCATTTGATGCGCAAAGAGCATATCTAGCGATTCTCAGGCCACTTTTTCAATTTTTTTCTTGCTTCTCTTGTTATGATTATTTTTTGGAAAAATTTCGAATTTTTGAATTTTTTTTTAATTTTTCCTACTTTTTTTCAAAATATTTTTAAAACTAAAACAAAATAAAAAAATTAGTCGAGAATTGCTATATATTTTAATTGCAAATCAAATGGTATACATCTCATCACTGTAGCTTCAAAACTTTAGGAGCTATTAACTTTGCCATGACAAAAAGTGTGAATGTTCAGTACAGCCCGACAAAGTGCCGCGCGCATCCGAATAGCCACTCAATGTAGCAAGGATACAAAATTAAACGTTACTGGAGCTTGTACCAAAGAGGATGGTGGGAGTGACTGGTACATGTACACCTCCCTGTTCAACGACAGGAGGGTGACTAAGCTTCACTCCGAGTAGAGACTATTAATAGGCTGGGCAGTAAATTCCCTCCAGTCTTATTACTTAAAGACCCCGCCCACCTCCCTCCCTTGCAGAATCTCTAGTGAACACATAAATCAACGTAGAGAGATGGTAATGGTTGACAGGAGGGTGACTGAGCTTCACTCCGAGTAGAGACTCTATTTATAGGCTGGGCAGCGAATTTCCCTCAGTCTTATTACTTAAAGACCCCGCCCACCTCCCTCCCTTGCAGAATCTCTAGTGAACACATAAATCAACGTAGAGAGATGGTAATGGTACTGTTGGATAGCTCAGAATGTCAGCTCTAAGATGAGACTAAAATCCAGAAAAGCCAAAACTGTTGATTTTGGACCTGCATGCTCCCCTTAAAGCAATATGTTTCAAAAACCAAAAATGCACAACAAAACAAATGAGGAATGAATGGGAGGAAACTGGAGTTAACGTCTGTGACCAAACTGTAAGTAACCATGTAAAGGAAATGGGATTTACATACAGAAAAGCTAAATGAAAGCCATCGTTAACACCAACACAAAAAAAAAAACAAGGTTACAATGGGCCAAGGATAATCAATCATGGACTGTGGATGACTGGATGACAGTCATATTCAGTGATGAGTTTCAAATCTGCATTGGGCAAGGTGATGATGCTGGAATTTTTGTTAGGTACTGTTCCAATGAGATTTATAAAGATGACTGCCTGAAGAGAGCATGCAAATTTCCACATTGATGATATGGGGCTGCATGTCAGGTAAAGGCATTGGGGAGATGGCTGTCAATACATCTTTAATAAATGCACAAGTTTACGTTGATATTTTGGACACTTTTCATATCCCATCAATTGAAAAGATGTTTGGGGATGATGAAATCATTTTTCAAGATGATAATGCGTCTTGCCATAGAGGAAAAACTGTGAAAACATTTCTTGAAAAAAGACACATAAGGTCAATGTAATGGCCTGCAAATACTCTGGATCTTAATCCAATTGAAAATCTTTGGTGGAAGTTGAAGAAAATGAACCATGACAAGGCTTCCAACCTGCAAAGCCGTTCTGGCAACAGCAATCAGAGAAATATGGAGACAGAATGATGAAGAGTACTGTTTGTCACTCATAAAGTCCATGCCTCAGGTCAGAGACTGCAAGCTGTTTTTCATGATTCCCTAATTTTTTTCTCAGAATTGAGTGATTTCATATTTCTTTCCCTCTGCTTGGTCTAAAAAAGTAACCGTTACTTACTGCCACAATTTTTTTTCTTGATTTCTTATAGTGTTTCTTAAAGCCAGAAAGTTGCCATTTGAAATGACTTTAGTTTTGTGTCATGTCTGTGATCCAGGGTGCAGAGGGTGGAAGCAGAGTTGCCAATAAATGGGTTTTTAAGCCCAAAGCGTCGCCAAACAGTAGTAGTAGTATAATGGTTTGCTAGCGCTTCAGCTATCAAGCTATTTCGCACTGAAGGTCAAAATATAACATCGCCAAAGAGGCAGAAGGTCTCAATTATTCAAAATCTCAAGTTAATCATCACCCACAAGGGGTGGAAGGTCTCAATTGTCCAGCCCGCTGAAGCTGGCTTGAAGGAAACAGCGTTAGCATCTCAAAGAGACAAAGTGACAAGGAGGGACAGGTGAAAAGTAACAGAAACGAAGACACTCAAACAAGAGGTCGCTTACACGGGATATCGGCCGCCCGCACGAGAGAGACAGAGACGGGAAATGTAAGGAATCCTACCTACATAATAACTTGACCCCACAACTGAGATCTGCAGTCAGACACCGCGAGCTCAGCGGTGGGGCGCTCAGGAACAATCCCCCTAGGAGTGCGAGATCCCATTGGACTTCTGACGAGCACACACACGTCAGAAGTCCCCTCCCGGGAGCGTTGCCAAACATTTTCGAGATGTGTCGCCGGGTAATTTTTAATAAAAAGCCATTCATGCTGAGTAATGAAAAACTATTTATTACAAGCCACAAACTTATTTACAAAGTTGCATGCATGTGTTACCCCAAATAACTAAATTTACCCTAAAAACAGTCCGATTGTACAGCAAGTGTCAACTGAACATGTGATGATGCAGTCTGACCGCTCTAATGTGACCGCAACTACATTTTGTTTACATTTTTTTGGCCGGAACTCATCGCAACCGATTTCCAGACAAGCTTTACTGCATCCTGAACCATCCAACGTACCGGAAACCTTACTTTTTTCTAAATAGTTGGCCGAAGACTGACAAATATATTAAATGCAAGAATTTCAATCTAAATGTTGGCAAGATCTTCTGAAGGCGTAAATTTTGCTACTGAAGCGTCGCCAAAGATCTTGCAATATTCATCCACAGTGGGAGAGTCTAAAAAAACTCTCTGCTTTGCCACTATGCATCCACTCTTTGCACAGTGGAT